TTTCCTTCCTCCCCTCAAGAAGGTGGGTACCTGTAGAAATCTCAAACACCTCTCTACCATCCACCATCAACCTCTGCCATGTGTGTTATGTGGCCACACCCATGGTCACAGCTGATTGGACCGGGGGTAAATAGCTAGAACAATCAGATTCACTCTCCTTGGATTCTGGAACTGGGCAGCAAATCTGGGCTTGCACCTAAGCTGGGGACACTTAACCTTGAGAGCGTCGCTGGACCACATGCCCTTGGAGAAGTAGAGGAAGCCAACGTTTGGAGAGAGACCCAGTGGGCACACACTGCCCCACACAGGACCTCGCAGCTTCGGACAGACTGGAAGAGCAACATCGGGGCAGGACAGTTTAGTTTCTGATTCTGTTAGTAGGTTCTCATGAAGTTGGGCCACATTGCCTGCACTTGGGTTCTGTGAAATGTGCTTCCTCAAAAAACCTCCCTTTTCCTGTGAAAAAAAGTCACTCAACTTGTAACCAGAAACACACACACGCCCATGCATGCACACAGGACCCTGACTGAGAAACTCACCATTCCCGCCCCATCCCCTTTCCGTTCGGGACCTGGCTTCTTGCTTCACAACGAAGCAGAGACCACCATTCTCAACATCCCACTCAGGCTATCATTGTCTTCGAATGGCTCCAATGCTTCTATTTTAACTACCCCCCACCAACACATACCAATTTTCTCCCAACTCCATTAAAAATCACTTTCCCCTCATAGCCAAGCACACAGGAAAAGTAGTCCATGCCTCTGTCTCCTCTCTTCTCATTAGCCCTCACTTGCACTACTATTAATATTTTGTGATAAGGTGTTTCATTTTGATGTGATGTGATGTGTCTGTGTGAAGGACAGGTGCAGGTTGGCACAGCAAACCACAGGGAAAGAGGAAGGGGGCAAAATTGAGGAGCCCCATAAGCATTTAGAGGCAAACCTGCAACAGCAGGAACTTGAAGTTAGAGACTGTTCCTGGCCAGGAGCATGCGCAGAAACTTGAAGCTTAGGTCCAAAGGTAACTGTTTTGCTATTAATATATATTAGCATAGTAAAAATCACACCCACCAGCGCCATGACAGTTCACAAATGTCATGGCAACCCTTGGAAGTTACCCTATAAGGATAAAATAGGGGAGAACCTTTAGCTCTAAGAACTCTCCACCCTTTTCCCAGGAAAATAATGACTATTCCACCTACCATTTAGCATATCATAAGGTATAGACATAAAACTAGGAGTGTGGCAAAACCCCAGGGTCTTCTCCACTTGCAGAGACAGACCCATCTCCCCCCAGGAAATGTACTTCTGCTTTGTATGCTGAAAGCCTGCAATAAAAGCTGCTTGTGTGGAAGTGCTAAGTGTCTGTCATCACTCTGTCACACCAGCCCTGCTTGCCATTTTTTCAAGCAAGGAGCTAAAGAACCAGGACAACAACCCTCAAAAATCAACCCTGACATGTGGGATTTAGGTATAGAGGTTCATGGACTGTATGGGTGTGGAGCTCAGAGTGCAGGGTTAGTCTGGAGATACAGATTTAGCATTCAATGATTTTTTTTTAAAAGTAATGCATGCATATGGTAGAAAAAAATTCAGACACAAGAGAGTGATAAATAAGTCTTCTGTCAAACACTGACTGATTACCCTAGTTTCTTTCCCAAAGACCACTTTGTATTTCCTTCCAGATGTGCCAGCTTCATGGGCATGGGAACTATATGGTCATATAGGGGCCCACACTTAGAAGACCCGTAAATTAGGTTAATACTTTGCTATTACCACCTTGAAATTCTTTTTTTTTTTTGAGACAGAGTCTCACTTTGTTGCCCAGGCTAGAGTGAGTGCCGTGGCGTCAGCCTAGCTCACAGCAACCTCAAACTCCTGGGCTCAAGCAATCCTTCTGCCTTAGCCTCCCGAGTAGCTGGGACTACAGGCATGCGCCACCATGCCCGGCTAATTTTTTCTATATATATTAGTTGGCCAATTAATTTCTTTTCTATTTATAGTAGAGACGGGGTCTCACTCTTGCTCAGGCTGGTTTTGAGCTCCTGACCTTGAGCAATCTGCCCACCTCGGCCTCCCAGAGAGCTAGGATTACAGGCGTGAGCCACCACGCCCGACCTGAAATTTTTAATTTTTCAATAAGGAACCCCACATTTTCATTTTGCACTAGGCCTCAGAAATTATGTTGTAGGTCCTATTTTCAGCTATAATATCCCATGCATAATTAAACATATAATATGCATATATGTCACCTCTTCCCACTCCCTTTTCTTTTAACATTTGCTTATTCTTAGAAAAATGTGTGCAGATGAAATTTTCCAGGAAGAAAGTGTAATAGTCATTAGTGCTGTTCACTAAATATTTCTGCTTCTTCTGTTTCTGGATACATGGGGGATATAAGGTGGGATTGCATTTTTGGTTTCTAGTGGTTGGGCAGGACCAAGTGCCTAGTTTTGATCAATGAGTAGTGAGCAGAAGTAAGTGCATTTCTAGGTCAGAGCATTTAAGAGCTGTTGTGAGACTCTCCAGAGTTCTCATTAAAGAGTTCAAGACAGTGGCTGTTCCATTAGCTTTGATCTCTAAGTGACTACAGAGGGCAGAGCCTTCTGGGTGAGCCATGATGGATGGACATGAAGTGCGGATAAGAAATAAATCATCATTGTTTCAAGCCATAAGATTTTGAGGGTTCTCTGTTATTGCAGCAAAACCTGTCTTATCCTGACTGACAGAAACATAAAAAAATGCTAAGAGAGAATTTTCTGGAACTGATATTTACAGGCAGAAGAAAGAAGAGAGCCATAGAAAGATAAGACAAAGAGTCGTAGAGGTAAAAATGGGAAACCAGAACAGAAGAGTTGTGGAAATCAAGGCAAGAAATTTCTCTAGGAAGTAGAAAGTGGTCGGTGATGTTGAATGTGTCCAAGAGGTCAAGTAAAATAAGAAATACAATATGTCAACCAAATCTGGCAACTGAGAAGTCCTTGGGAACCTTATTGAGAACAGTAGCCATGGAGTGGTGGTGGCGGTGGTGGTGCAATAGTGGACAGGGGCTGAAGATGAAGAGAGGGAGGGACACATGGGATCAGTGTAAGAGTCCAGCAGAAAGACAAGAAAATAGATGTCTTTGGGTGGTAGCAAGAGCAATACTGAAGTGACTTGCCTATCATTTCCTATAAATGGAAGCATAAAAGACATGTCCTTTTGTGACTGGTTTTTGTCACTTAGTGGAAGGTTTTCAAGGTTCATCATGTTATAGCATATATCAGTGTTTCCTTCCTTTTTATGGCTGAATAATATTCCACTGTATGGACAGACAGTCTTTTGTTAATCCATTATTCAGTGGATGGACGTTTGACTTGTCTGCCTGTTTGCTGCTATATCTGCTAGTTCCTGGAGCTCTTGGGAATGAATGAATGAATAACATGAACAGAGCTGTCCAAAGTCACAGAGGTGTAAGATGTGACCTGGGGCCTATGTTCTAACCCTCAGGCTTTACCTGTCAATCTCTTCTTTTTATAGATGAAGATTATTGTATGGTTCAGAGTCCCAGCAGGAGAGCAATGGCACACTCAGGTAGGGTAGCTAGTGAAGGGACCACTTATAAAAGTGTGGGCAGAGGTAAGAAAAAGCAGCAAGGGACAGTGAGCTGCTTGGGGCTGGCAACAGTGTGGAGCCCTTACCCCTTCATCCCCAGGCCTGAAGAAGGCAGTGCAGCCCAGAAGCCTCCCCAATATGCAACTGAGAAGGGAGGGACCAGGGGGTTCATACCGATCCTCAGGTCTCCCCAGTCTCCTAGACTGGAAGCTGGCAGGTAAGGGGGCCTCATGCAGCTCATATGGGTGCGGAAGCACAAATTCCCTCAGACTGGAATAATAGAAATTGATAAAGTCAGCTGCAAAGATGACAGGGAGTAATAATTCTCTGTATCCAGAAAGTGATAATACTTCCCCCATCTTTGAGGGACTGCTGCTGCTTACTCACTGAGAAACAGCATCCTTTAAAATCACAGACTATCAGAAACGTTGCCATTTGGAAGGACATGACTAAGAATGAAATATTCCACTTTTGCCTAGAGGATTTAAGTCATCCTGACACAGAGAAGCCGCCTCAATGTTGCAACTCACGTGCAGAGCTTCAGAAAAAGGATTTCTGGACACAACATTCGACATTTATCTTAGCTTTGTCGCTTCCAAAGAAACAGGGCCCTGGGTCCCCTTTGCAATGCAGATTTGAAGTTGACTGCTTCATACAAACCTGCTTTGCATTGAGCCTAACGAAACATGATTTCATTCAGATTTCATCTAAACTCCACTTTTCTCAGAATTCTGTAACAACTCTATCTCTTCATTTGTTTTGTGATTCATCAAGTCAATAAACCTAACTTTGTTGGACTGCAACTTTGTTCCTGGTAGTCTTAGGCTGATTGGACTAGGTCATGGGTTGACCTCCAGAGGGTCAAGCAGGAAAGGTCCAGCTTAGAAATAAAGTCCTTTCTACAGATGTAGCCAAAAAAAAAAAAAAGAAATAAAGTCCTTCCCCTGACTCCCACCCCCAGCCCCCGCTCTCCACCAAATCTGATTTCCTCCACCATCTGCAGATCAGAGTAGTGTAGTGGGCAGGGGAAGAAAAGGGGAAGACCTTCAATGACCCAGGGCTCCTATACATCTGGGGCTGAATAAAGGGTTGTAGAAATGAATGAATCGACCTCTGAGTGGGGCTTGAGGCAATGGAAAGATCTAGGCTTTTGGAAACTCTGGGTCTCATGACATTTGAAGGGCTGTCCCTTTCTCCCAACCGAAATGAGTCTAAGAAAGTGAAAGGAAAAACAGGAAAGGGAGAATTCTAAAAATGTCTATCTTCTGAAGACCATCTTTGTGTAGGCATCTGGGGGAGGACAGCTGGAGCAAAGGCCTCTGCCAGCCAGGCCTGTAGGACTTTGCTTTTGTTTATCTCAGCCACATCTGGGGCAGCTGCCAGGACCCGCCCCCACCATGCAGTCATTGGAGGAGCTCAACGTTAAAGGCTCCTGCTAAGAATCAGTGAGTTTCATTTTGCTGTTCCTGGGGGGGGCGGGTTGCAGTGGCCTCGTCTGAGAGGGTTGAGCCCCGGTCCAGCCCCAGGCAGGGAGCGCACCTCTCACCATGCCGGACTGCTGCAGCTGCAGGGATGTGTTCCAGTATGAGACAAACAAAGTCACTCGGATCCAGAGCATGAATTATGGCACCATTAAATGGGTCTTCCACGTGATCGTCTTTTCCTATGCTAGGTAAGTGGGGTGTGGGGAGGACTCCAAATCTCTGCGGTCGCTGACAGCACAGAAAACCCCAAGGTGTAGGTTCAGGTGCACATCCTGAGTCCCACATGGTTTTCAAATGTGAGACGCGCTCTCACAGCAAGCTGGGCAGGCGGCAGGAAGCAGCAGGCAGGAGGAAGCAGCGCCAGCCTGCAGCAGAAAGAAACCATGGGAGGTAAGCGAGACTCCTTTTGGCTCTACCCCAGGCCTGCCAGGATGAGCAGGGCAGGGCGTGCCAGGGGAAAGAAGGAAAACACAGGGCAACACACCCTGGATTCCCAGGGAGGAGGCATGGATCTGAGGACACACCTTGCTTACGGGGAGGAATGGGACCAGGCATGTAAATGTAACTTTAGGTCCTGTCCAATGTCAGGAAGGCCCCCTAGTTATTTTTGGTTTTGTCTTCCTAAAATAACTTATCGAGGTATAATTCATATCCCATACAATTCACCCATTTAAAGTGTACAATTCAAGGGTTTTTAGCACATTCACAGAGTCGCACAGAATTTTAGCATCACCATAGTCAATTTTAGAACATTTTTCATCAGTGCAGAAAGAAACCTCACACCCCTTTAGCTGTCATTCTCAACCCTCCCCACCACACTCCCTCAGCTCCAGGCACCCCCTAACCTACGTTCTGCCTCTATGGATTTGCCCATTCTGGATATTCCATATAAAAGGAATCACACAATATGTGGTCCTTTGTGACTGGCTATTTCTACTTAGCATGTTTCAATGTGCTGATGCTTCACTCTTTTCTATGGCTGAGTAGTATTCCATTATATGGGCAGATCAGTTTTATTTATCCATTCATCTGTTGATGGACATTTGAGTTGTTTCTCTTTTTTGGTTATCATGAATAATGCTGCCATGAACACTTGCATACAAGGTTTTGTGTGGGCACATGTCCTCATTTCTCTTGCATGTCTACCTGGGACTGGAATTGCTGGCTCATGTGGTAACTCTGTTTCACCGCTGGAGGGGCTGTCACAGCTGCCGCAGCTTTGTACATTCCCACCAGCAGACTGTGAGGGCTCCAGTTTCTCCACATCCTCACCGACACTTGTTATGGTCTGTCTTTTTGATTATAGCCAACTGAGTTGTTATGAAGTGGTATCTTATCTCATTGTCATTTTGATTTGCATTTCCCTGATGGCACATGCCCCTTATTCTCTCTGATGATGATGATGATAACTTATATATATATATATATATATTTTTATAAAGGTTTGAGACATGCCTAAATAACTTATATTTATCTACACAGGGTGACAGTGTAGTTTACTAAGATTTAGAGCTACCCATTTTATAATTCTGAGTATGTCTCCTTGCCCAAGTCACTTAACTTCTCTGAGCTTCAATTTTTGTATCTATTTATAAAGTAGTTTCAACAATTAAACAAGAAAAGGCATGAAAAGCCTTATCATGATGTCTGACTTAGGATAAGAGCTTCATACTGGTATCTATTTTTTAAAAATAATCTTTTTTAATATAATAGATATATTTATATATATCCTCTCCTTTTGAACCTCAAAGTAACCACATCTAAGCTTGGGATTTGAAATCTGGAAATGTGTATTCAAAAATCCTTCACCTCTTTGAAACTTGGTTTCCTCATCTGTAAAATGGGGATAATTGTTGTTGGGAATATTAAACGAGTTAATAAATGCAGAGCTCTTAGAGAAACATATGGTACCTAGCAAGTCCTTATTAAGTGTTAGTTATTAACAATGTTATTATTAGGATTATCATTATTTGATTCATGTTTACTATTAAACAAATATTGAATAATAAATATATGTGCTGAAGTTCTAAAATAAGACATTACTTAGACCAGCTACCATAGGACCAAAAAAACAGTGAGACAGTGAAAAAACAAATAACTGTTACGAGTTATTTGTAACAAGTTATTTGTTATTTTACAAGGTCTTTCCAAATGCCAGAAATTCCAGGGACTTCTGAAGGCTACTTCTCTAGCCTTGGTTTGTCTCAGCTCTGTAACTGGGCTATGGAGACTCTCCCTGGGTTGTCATCTAGGAGTCCTCGTATTTTTACCTCAGCCCCTTCCCTGGTCCCACCAGGTGCCCTGCTCCTCATTGGGTACGTGCTGCTTGGCCCACGGAGGCTGCCGACTCGCCCTGGCACTTTGCTATCATGTGGTTTGCTCGTGACCACCAAGCTGTTGCCTAAACCAAGCGCCCTGTGATGATACCACCTTGGAGAATTCTTTGAGTTTTATTCCAAGTGAGTTGAGAAGCCATAGAAAGATTTTAAGCAGAGAAGTAAAAGACGGTTGTATTCTTTTGGGAAATTTCCCTCTTCCCCGGAGAGCAGTCCTCTTGGAAGCTTTTCCAGTGACCACAGAAGACCAGAGAAGGTTGAGAGAGAGACAGGAGAACAAGCTCCACTCCCAGCTGCTGCTTCTGTCCCGCCCAGCGGCCTCCATTGGGGCCAACAGTGAGCAGGGCCAGTGTTATCCTTCTCAGCCCCAGGGTGGTGTTGCCATGGAGATGGCACTGCTGTGTTAGTTTGTGACTCTTAAAATGTAGCTCCTGGCTAGCCACCTGTGAGCCGGGGCCTCCTCCATTTGAGTAGACAGGAGCCTACCATGAAGGAGGCACCAGAGGCCAGGAGGAGCAAATCCAAGCCAGGCACGGCCCCTGTGGCCCCCGCCATCTTCAGGGGCACAGAAACATGAGAAGATTCGCCATGTTCTCTTCCTGCCCTTGACACCTGAGTGATGTGATAGAACTTGGAGCGGGGAGGGCAGAGAAGACCCACTTCAGGAGGTGACCCCTGCAGGAAGAGAAGAATCTAGCTACACAACACATGGAGGCAAGAGAACAGAACATGCAAAGATCTGGGAGCAACAGAGGAACAGAAAGGACAGCATGTCCAGAACCTGGAGAGAGAGGAGGGAGGAGCAGGAGCCGATGGCAGGCCAGGATAAGGGCTGATTCTCAATGCTGCGGAAACACTGAAAAGTTTTACACAGAGGGTGCAACTATCTGACTCATGTTTCTAGAAGCTCTCACAGGCCCTGTGCAGAGCAGAGATTGTGTGGTGCAGGAATGACAGTGAGGGCCAATGAGAAGGTTACTAGAGTCATCAGAAGTGAGAAGATGGCAAACTTGGGCTAGAATGGGATGGTGGAGCTGGAGAGATGTGACAAAGCTGGATATGCTTTGGAGGTGGAACCGAGAGATTTGCAAGGAGGGGAAGGATGACCCGGGTTTCTGGAGAAGCATGATGGTTTTTACTGATGCGAGGAGAGGCAAGCTTGCCGACTAACACAGCATTGTTAAGATGAGCAGTTAAAGCACCCCGACTGCTACCATCTATCCGCAGCCCTTTGTTATAATCATAGTCTAGCGCCAAACGTTACAAGAGCTGGAAGCATATAATCTCAAAAAAATAAAGCACGGTCCTTTCAAATGGATGGCTCTGGCTTTACGAAAAGTGCCGCAGGTTCTGTTTCAAGGTGCAATGGCAAAGGCTTCTCGCCCGCACCCATGGGCTTCTGGGGACATTGCCCCAGCCCTCCTGGGTTAACACAGCGCTAGGAAGAGGAAAGAGAAGATCCACAGGACTTATGCACAGGACTGCATGCCTGCTGGCAGGCTTGGGTGTACAATGGCCAAGAAGGCAAGCTCAAGGCGGGCTGGAGAAGCACAGCAAGGGGGCTTTTTTTTTTTCCGGGATTGTGGGACCATGAGCGTCAGCCTAGGGCACTGACAAGCACGGGAGTTGCTCCCTAGCCCCAGCATTTATATAGAACATTTTAAAACATACAAAACATTAAGAGTTTATGCTCATATATTCATTTTAGAGAGATCATTCGGCTTGAAATATAATAAATAAGATGCTCCTGGAGTATTGCTGAGGTCTTAGCATGTGCCACATTCTGTTCTTAGCATGTGACATGTATTAGGCCTACTGATCCTCATAAATAATCCTATAAGATAGGTTCTTGGCCAGGCTTTGTGGCACCTGTAATTCCAGCACTTTGGGAGCCAAGATGGGGCTCCCCTTGAGCCAGGAGTTTGAGACAAGCTGAGGCAACATAGCAAGACATCATCTCTACAAAAAAATCAAAACTTAGCTGGTGGTGTTGCATGCCTATAGTCCGCTACTCAGGAGGCTGAGGCAGGAGGATTGCTTGAGCTCAGGAGTTTGAGGTTACAGGGAGCTATGACTGTGCCACTGCACTCCAGCCTGGATGAGAGAGCAAGACCCTGTCTGTAAAAAGAATAAATTAAAAAGATTCGGCCGGGTGTGGTGGTCACGCTGTAATCCTAGCACTTTGGGAGGCCGAGGCGGGGATTGCTCAAGGTCAGGAGTTGAAACCAGCCTGAGCGAGACCCTGTCTCTACCAAAAATAGAAATAATTAATTGACCAACTAAAAATATATATACAAAAATTAGCCGGCATGTGGGCATGCCTGTAGTCCCAGCTACTCGGGGAGGCTTGAGGCAGGGGATCCCTGAGCCCGGAGATTGAGGTTGCTGTGAGCCAGGCTGACGCCACGGCACTCACTCTAGCCTGGGCAACAAAGTGAGACTCTGTCTCAAAAAAAAAAAAAAATTAAAAGATTATTCTTGTAGTGGGTGATTATGATCTGAACAACCTAACCATGTTGGAGAAATCCTGTGTTATGAGCTCACCTCACTAACACATGTCACAAGTTAACTTCCCAGCTTCCCTTGCAGCCTAGGACATTACCTGAGACCCACACTTCCAACAGACCCAAGCTTTTCCAAGGAAAGACTCTGACACACAGGGAACAACATGGGGAGGTAGGTGTGAGCAGAACTCAAATTCAGGAATAGGGGAACAGTATTGTCCTTTGTCCTGGGCCCTAGAGTCTCCACTATCTCTCTGGACTTTGAGCTTCCCTATGGAATAATGGGTCTGTGGAGCTGTTTTAAATTCTATTCACTAAACAGCAATAGAAACTAATACAGCCCCACAGGCCTGAGTCAAGGTGTTAGTGGGCTGAGTTCTTATCTAGAGACTCTGGGGGAAAATTCACTTCCAAGCTCATTCTTTTGGTTGGCAGAATTTAATCCCTGAGGCTATAGACCATGAGCTCTGTTTACTCGCTAGCTGTCAGCCAGGGGCCACTCTCAGATCCTGAAGTCCACCCACA